AAACATAAAATACTAAAGCACTATAACATTTCATTGAAGGAAAGAAGCTCAAAAGAAGAAAGAGAAGATGGTAGCCATGGGAGGAGCTAGGTCCGGCCATGGGAGAGAGAGAGAGAAAGAGAGAGAGAGAGAGAGAGAGAGAGAGAAAATCTGATTTTTCTTTCTAAGACCTCCAATTTATAGAAAACTCAAAAAGTGCCCCGAACGGGCCCCACCGGGTCCAGAAAAGTGAAATTTGAGCAGACGCGCTCAAACAGCAAAACTCTGTGAACGAAAAAGAACCAAAATGAGAAAAAATGAATAACAAAAGAAATAACGTCAAAAACTGAGTCCCGAGCAGAGAGATATGCCCCGAACAAGTTCGGCAGCAATCGGGGCCAAAAACCCTAAAACTGGAGAGGAACAACCAAAAGGAAATTATAAGAGTATACGACTCGACAAAAAGTGAAAATGAATCCCGTACAAGGATCCAGGCTCAAAACAAGGCATTTAGCAATAACTTTCATTAATTGCACAATGGCCCCTCTTAAAAGTGAAAACTACACAACTGGCCCAGAATGAAAATATCTTCCAAAAACGTTTTCTTAGAAACCCCTGAAATAAAATATCTTCAAAATATATTTATGAAAAACACCCCAAGAAAAGAAAATGTTATTGAAAAATTATGCATTCATGCCCCTATGAACACCGGAAACAACCTACTTTACTGCAAAAGTAAAGGTACGTATTTCGTAAAAACTACCAAGAATGAAGGTACGTGAAGTTAGAAACCAACTCCTAACACAAAAAATTGAGGCTATGCCAACAAAATGACAAACGGGGAAAAGACGAAATAGGGAAAAGGACGAAAAGTGAATAGTGTCCGAAAAATAAAAATGTGGAAATGACGCGGTCCTCAAAGGAAATTTTCAATCCAAAGGAAAGAGTCTTAAAAATTATTCCAGAGCACTCGAGACAACACTAAGTGACGAGAAATTGAACTCAGAAAAGAAAAGATCAACGGAAAAAAAATATCCGTGAAAATCTGAGAAAAAGGAAAGGAAGAAAAATGACAGGGTCATTACAGAGCTTCAATAGTTGGGTGGGTGAACTTAAACATAAACCCATTTTAACTTTGTTGGATGGAATAAGGACTAAACTGATGGAAAGGATACAAAAAAATGTTTAAAAAAGGGTGTGACTTTTCAGGAATGGTCACCCCTAACATAAGGAAGAAGTTGAACAAAGTATTGGAAGATTCAAGGACTTGCACTGTAATATTTGTTGGTGGTGAAGAATATGAGGTCATGGATTAGGGATTTATTTATGTCGTTCACCTTGGTAGGAGGACTTGTATTTGTAATTTATGGCAGGTCAGTGGTTAGCCATGTAAGCATGTAGCAACAGCTATTGCTTATAATAGGTATAACATTGAAAGGTTCTGTGATTCATGCTACACTAACAGGCAATACTTAGCTGCTTATGGAAACATAATCCATCCAATTGTTGATCAGCAATTGTGATCATCTATTGAGGCTGAACCAATAGATCCTCCAACTTTGAAAAGGTTACCTTGCAGGCTTAGAAAGAACAGAAGAAGAGAAGTTGATAAGCTAGCTGTAGGCATTAGTGAGGTGAGAAGGTCTCTAACTGTGAGATGTAAGATATGTAAAGCATTTGGGCATAATAGAAGGACATGCCAAGGAGCAGAAGTGAGAAATATAGGGGGTAACACATAGGTATTCAATGTTCTATAGCTTGTTTTATTTCAATAAATTATATGAGATCTTATTTTATTTAACTTTTTCTATTTCTGTTGTGTCAACCACAAGTTGGAAGAAGCAGCAACACTTATGGTAGTCAAGCAACTACAGACCCTTCGTGTGTGAACCAGCAACAAGTATACTTTTATTGATTTTTTTTTTTAGCTTATTATTTTAGTTAATTTCCTAAATTATTTAAATCAATCGCATATAGAGAGGGAGGGGAATTGGAAGGGGAGTCGATGTGAACCGACAACATGTACAATTATTATGTTTCGTTAATTTTTTTCTTCGTTTTGTTCAAGGTTTTTTTCTTCAGCTTATAACCTTTTTTTTTCTTGAATGAATCATATAAAGAGAAGGATGGGAATGGAAATGAGAGCCAATAGTATGAGTCAACCACAGGTTGGAGTCAATGTGAACCAGCAGCAGGTATAGTTATTTTGTTTTTTTTTTTTTCATGTTGTATTTTTTAGCTTATAACCTATTTAATTTGTTTCAATGAATCATATAAAGAGGGGGAGAGGAACGGAAATTGGTGTCAACGCGAAACAACAACAGGTTTAGTTATTTTTTATTATTTTTTTCCCTTTGTTCAGGTTTTTTTTTTTCATGCGTATAACCTATCTTATTATGTTGAATGAATCATATAAAGAGAGGGAGAGGAAAGGGAATTGGAGTCCGTACTATGAGTCAGCCACATGTTAGGGTCAATATGACCCAGCATCAGGTATAATTATTTTTTTAGTTTGTTCTTTTTTCTTTTCTTTTTTTTTTTCTTTTTTCAGGTTTTTTTTTCACATATTATAATTGAATGAATAATATACAGAGAGGGAGGGGGATGGGAAGTCCGAGTCAGCCAACTCCAATTCCACCAACTGCATATTCTACAGGAAGGGGAGTTAGTAATATGAGTCAACCACATGCAAAGATGAATGTTAACCATCAGTTGATATAGCCTTGGTGTTTTTTTTTTAATTTATTATTATTTTTTAAAATAGTTGTAGATTTTTTTTCCAACTAATAACATATTTTAATTAAATAAATCATATACAGAGAGGGAAAGGGATGAGAAGTCCGACTCAACCAATACTAGTTCCACTATTGGCATATTCTGTAGGAAGGAAAGCTAGTAGTATGAGTCAACCAATTGCAAGGGTGAACGCCAACCATCAGCTGGTATAGTCTTGGTGTTTTATTTTTTGTTTAATTAGTTTTTTTTAAAAAAATAATAATAAATAGTTGTATATATATATATATATATTCAACTGGTATAGTCTTGGTGTTTTTTCTTTTTTTTTAAATAGTTGTATATATATATATATATTCAGCTTGCATCATACTTCAATTAAATGAATCATATTCAAAGAGGGAAAAGAATAGGAAGTCTGAGTCAGGCAACACCAGTCCTATCAACATCTTCTGTAGGAAGGGGAGTTCACAATGTCAACGAACATGTATGTTTTCTTTTTCTTTTTGTTTTTCTTCTTGTATTAAAAAATAACTAATCACCATTTCTATTATGCATGCATAGGTTGGAAGGGTTAACAAATTACTAGGACAGAGAGGGAGGGGAATCAGTGGAGGATCTTTCCATGGAAGGATAGTTGGCAGGGGAAGGACACATTCAACCATGGGTAGCAATGTTGGTCATGGTGCAAGCTCCTCAAGCCAAACCAATATATGACAATTCTAGTTGCAACAATCTTTTTTGTTTATAAAGTTTGTAGATAAAAGCTAAGCACTGATGTGTAGCTCTTAAACCTAGGTTTTTTGTGTTGTGATACAAGAAATTGCAAATGATGTGGTACAGTGTTTTTTTGGGGGGATACAAGTGACTTGGTTTTTATTTTTTAGGTGAAATGAAGTTATGTAATGACTATATAGAACCTGTTGGGTCTTTTATTGATGAAGTTATGTAATGAAAATTATGTTCACTATTAATTATGAATTTTCATTATATGCTTGGTTTTACTTCTCTTGTTGTGAATTTTTACTATTTTATGTTTTTATTTTAACTTATAACAAGTTGATCTAATTTTATTGATTTGTCATATGTGGCAATCTTAATTTTTGCAGTTCAACTGAAATGCTATCCGTAAACAAATTAAATAGGACAAATAATCAACATAAATTACCAATATATTACTAGAAAATATACTATAATACAATACAAGTCATCAAATATAAAAAATATTCAATATAATATATTAATATAGACAAAGAAAATAGAGGGAAATGAACTTGTTAGATGGGGCTGAGAAATGGAAGGAAATGTGTGTTCCATTTTGGCGGGAACATATTGTTTGGGCAAAATGGTCTTCATATATATTTAGAGGTTAATATGGGCTTTCTGTAGTTTTAGATTGCTGACATCATCAATTAATTGACGGAAGTTTGTTTTAAAGGAGGCAAATGATATTTTGAATAATTGAGGGGAGCTGTTTGAGCTTTTAGCCAACTAGAGAGGAGGTAAGTGTAATTTACCCAAAAGGAAAACATATAGCATATATGATGGATAAAGGAAAGGAATGAAGAAGAAGAAAAAAGTGAAAGAAAGAAGAGAGATTTAAGGTGTGAAATCAATAGAAAATCAAGAAGTTTTCATAATTAAAAATGAACAAATCAGCAAAGAACACTTGCCCAGAAACTATGAAATAGATTGGCGATTTGCAATCTTGGTGATATGTGGCAACGACAATCATGGGCGCGATCTGGGTTTTGCTGAACTGTCTAAAGCTTCGCCAATGGGTTTGTGCAGCCATGGATTATTGTCACATACAGAGATATATATTGATTATAGTAAAATGACTCAATTAGCCCTTAAATTAAAAGTCATAGGTGTATTTTTAAGGGTATATTTGTCCAAACAAACACAATTTTACACAAATTGGACAAAAGGGTCATTTTACATAGCCTGTATTTATAATTATTAATTTATTCAACTGAAGTGAGAGTATTGTCGTCATTTTATACCACACAGTGACCTATTTGCACCAAATTGATAGTATAGAGGGATTTTTTACCACGCAATGATCATTTTGCATTATATCGATAGTAGAAGAGGGTTTTTTGCACTTAACCCTATTTTAAATTGGTCTATCTGATTTTTCTGTTATTTCTTATTATTATTTTAGTAAATTTGTTGTTTTCATAATTATTGCGGAGTATTTTTTAAATGATTTATTCAAGATACTGAACTTCCCCATTTAAATATGAAGTAATTACACGATTAAAACCATTGACCAAACATACTTATTAAATTATAGAATCCAAAGAAAAGAAAAAGAAAAAGAAAAAGAAAAAAAAGGGTCCCTCATACGAATCGGCATCGTCGTTATAACCGTTAATTAAGCGGATGCCTCAAGGGAGGGCAAAACCGTCACTCCAATCAATCGCTGTGGGTGTATCGTGTGTGTATAATAATGCTTGCTCTCTCTCTCTAACAAATACATAATAGTGATAGAGGGCGAGAGAGAGAGTTCAACGCCTTCCACATTCTGACTTCGATTCCGACTCACTCACTTCCTTCCTATTCTCTTCTCAATATTTGTTTTCTTGTATTCATTTTTCAGTCTTGATTGCCTCCGTCAATCCCTAGTGTGTGTGTGTGTATATATATATATATATAATATAGAGAGAGAATTACAGAACTGAAATTCTACATTTCACTATATATTTCTAGGGTCCGACCATCATTTCATGACAGCCCAGGTACAAATGTTCCCAATTTTTCTTTTTCTAAAGTTACATTTTTAGAGTGATTATCTTGAAATTTTTAATGTTCTGATTTTCATATCTTGTTAGAGACTCACTAATTCTTGGCCGTGGTTTGATCACATATTACAATTACGGGTTACCTTGTTTTTTATGTTACAATCACATACTATATACTTATTTGTACAATGTGGACTTCATAAGATTTCAATTTGTCTGAAATATCTTAACATCATAAGATACACTCTCACTCACATGGTCTGATTTTGATTATGATTTGGGTTGGGTGTTTTTCTTTTCATGTTATAGACTCAATGTTTCACTTTTTTTTTGGTTTGATGGAGAGTTTAGAAATTTGTTTGGTAATTAAAACTTATATATTTATGTATTTGGCTTTGTGGAGGTAGGTTTTTTTATGGGTTGAATCCAAAGAATGATGGCTAGTTATGGTGAAGCAGAAGAAGAACAATTTTTTGATACTCGTGATGAGATCGCTCCGGTGTCTGATTCTGGTTCAGATTGCTCCCAGGACAGTTGTTCTAGTTCTGGGCATGTCAATTGTGATTCAGATAGTCTTGGGGATGAGTTTAGGACGGAGAATCTAGAGAGTGTTTGTGAGCGTCGCCATAGGTTCATGAAATGGATGGGTTTGAGTTTAGATCAGAATCCGGTTGAAAGAGAGGAACCAGGAGATAATGAAATCAAAATGGGAATGGACAGAATTAGAGTTACTGAAGACAGTGGTGCTGGGCTAAGAAATTCAGATTTCGAAGACCAGTTTTTGTCGAATTGCTCTGAAGCTACAGGATGGATGCAAGATGATATATCTGATGAGGGGAATTCCGAGTGTTGTATCAAGAATTCAGAAGAGGGGAGAGAGATTTTAATGGATGAAATTAGCCATCATCAAACGGTTGGAAGATCACAGGAAGAAGCTGAGGCCGGTGACATGGTGGATATGAAGAAGAAAGTGAAGAGGGGCTGGCTTAAGAAATTAAATGTCCTATCACGTATTACCAATAGGCAAGGGGAAGACAGTTTGAAGCCGAGTGATTTCAAGTTGGAGTTGGGGACTAGAGTTCGAAGAGTTCGGGTTCATCTACATGGGAAGAGGTCAAAAGAATTGTCCTCCCTTTACGCAGAACAAGAATTTTCAGCACACAAGGGCTCAATCTTGACAATGAAATTCAGTCCCGATGGCCAGTACCTGGCAAGTGCTGGTGAAGACAGTGTCGTTCGTGTCTGGAAGGTGATGGAGTATGAGAGACCAAATCAATTTGACATTCAAGATACTGATCCTTCATGTTTGTACTTCTCAGTGGATCATTTATCCAAATTTGCCCATCTTGATGTGGATAAAAACAAAATTGGTAAGATGAAGAGGTTGAGGAAATCAACGGAGTCAGCTTGTGTAGTTTTCCCACCAAAAGTCTTTCGGATTTCGGAGAAACCTTTACATCAATTCCATGGACACAGTTGTGAGGTCTTGGCTCTCTCATGGTCCAGCAAAGGGGTTAGTAATATCACAAATTTTTTATTTTTTAATTTTTGTTTGCTTCTGTTGTCCTTTGTTAAAAAACCATTATTGTTTTTCTTTAATTATGAAGGCAACAAATTTAATATATTTTCCTCAATTATTGTTGTAATTTACTGGTAAAAATGATATGTGTTTCCCGGATTTTGGCTCGTTAATCTTGTTTCTGATACTGTCTGCAGTATCTGCTGTCATCCTCTGTTGATAAAACTGTTCGCCTGTGGCAACTAGAACATGACCAATGCCTTGGAGTGTTTTCTCATAATAACTATGGTAAGCTTCTCGTTGCTTGTCTTATTTATTTTTCAATCTGCGTGTGTTTGACTTATTTGATAATTTAAGGTTGTTTTATTCATCACAATCTCAATCTCTTTTCCTGATTCCTAAAAAATTGTGATGAATTCTGCTCACAATAAACATTGATGCAGTGACCTGCATAGAATTCAATCCCATGGATGATAATTATTTCATCAGTGGTTCAATAGATGGGAAAGTACGCATCTGGGAAGTGCATGGTTGTCAAGTTGTTGATTGGACTGATATAAGAGAAATAGTGACTGCTGTGTGTTATTCCCCCAATGGGAAGGTTTGTCGGATCTCTTTCTTTTAACTTTTCGAGTGAAATTTAACCTAAAAACTATGTATGGATTTTAGTTAAGAAGGTTTTTATATAAATGATGCAGGGAGGAATAGTGGGATCCATGGATGGGAATTGCCGTTTTTATGATATAATAGGTGTGTGATACAATTATTTTTATTCATACTACATTTTTTTCCCGGTAAATAGCATTATTCATACAACATTTCAACAAGTGAACACAGCAGAACTAGTTTGTATTGACTTGTGCCAAATGGCATATGTTCCTAGCTCATTAATTCTCTTAAAATGGTTTGTGTGTTATCTGCAAGAAAAAAAATTTCTTTAGTTTTCTGTTTCTAACCTCATTATGTGTCCTGTGTCTTTATTAATTGAACCCGTGTGCTGCTGAGCTTCTTGTATTATATTAGCATATGAAATGAGGAGGACTAACGTTTACCAAACATGTTTTGTATGGGTTAAGATAATCATTTGCAACTGGATGATCAAATAAATTTAAATGGGAAAAAGAAGTCGGCTTGCAAGAGGATAACTGGTTTCCAGGTAATCATCTAACAGAAGTATGTGACTTCATTACATTGTTTCATTATCTGTCTTTAGACTTACACCCATGTGTATTGTTGCACACTTCAGTTTTCCCCAAGTGACCCTAGCAAATTAATGGTAACTTCTGCTGATTCACAATTTCGAATACTTTCTGGGGTCAATGTCATCAGCAAATTCAAGGGTGTGTATTAGTATCTTTATCTTTGATCCTATATAAAGAATGAATTGGAAGTTTTTTTTTGTTCCTCCCCGTTTCTCTTTTTGTTGGCTCTGCAAGTTGTCATCATATGAATGTTTAATTTGATAGGAGAGATATCTTTCTATTCTTATTTTTAGGCATTCGAAATTCAGGAAGCCAGGTACCTGCATCTTTCACCTCAGATGGGAAACACATTGTCTCGACAAGTGAGGATTCTCATGTCAATGTTTGGAACTGCATCGGCCAGGAGAAGACTTTGTCCTCCACAGGAAAGCACAGTTGGTCTTGTGAAAGTTTCTTGTCTCACAATGCTTGGATTGCTTTGCCTTGGAATGGCATGAAAAACATGTCGGGTTCACCTACAATCCCAACCTTTTTGGGGGACGATTTGCTCTGTAGAATTTTGAGAAATGCCGAGTGTGATGAGGATTTACACCACAAAATGCCTGTCTCTTCCCCTGATTGTTTCTCTTTGAGCCGTGGTTTTTTCTTGGAGTCTCTGCCAAAGGGATCTGCAACTTGGCCAGAGGAGAAACTACCGGATTCAAGTCAAGTGGCCGGGTCACCCACAATGTGCAAGTCTGAGTACAAACTTTCGAAGAGTGCTTGCCAGAATACATCCAGTTCTCCTCATATGTGGGGTCTTTTGATTGTAACGGCCGGCTGGGATGGGCGGATTAGAACATATTACAATTACGGGTTACCGATTCGTCTTTGAAATCCCATGGTTCAAGCAGGATCAGGGGCCTTACCATTGCTCTGCATTTTTTAGACAGCAACAATTTGCACAATTGTAGATGTTGTTTCACTCAGTGCAATGTAGGTGTACTATAGTCGAATTAATTTCTACCAAACTACAGCCAAAGTGTTCTATTATATATTTAGGAATATAATTTAATTCTTTGAAATACATAGGGGTTACATCTTAGAAAATTGCAGTGCTTGTAATCACTACATCTTTTGCAGCTTTATTCTTGTTTTTTTTTCAGTGACAGTCAGTGGTGTAAAGTTTTTAAATTATTTAATAAAATTGTTGTATGAAAATGGAATTTATATTCTGATCGAATGGAATATAAATTCCATTTTCATACAAGGCTTTATAATATCATTGATCGAGGTTCAAATGTCATGGGCACGGGACCTTTTATTACATGAAAATTTGATTCCTTCTTGGAAGCAAATTCTCAACACAATAAAACCAATTTAAGTTGTGTTTCTTGAAGTTCAGAGAACCAATATGAGAATTAAAAAACTCTATTCGATATCATTCACGATGAGTATTACATTCAATTTATAGACTAATACCTAGCTAAACTAGGTAACTAATTATACAATAATAGGAAACTAATTACCTACCAATTAGCCCTAAATCAAGGAGTAAATAATTCAATCCTATAGCTATACAATCTGTATAATCCCGGATTACAAAAAATAAAATCTCAACACTCCCCCTCAAGTTGGTGCATAGATGTCACGCATGCCCAACTTGTCTAAAAATTTTGAAAACACTTGATTTGAGACTGCTTTGGTGAGAATGTCGGCTAGTTGATCATCAAATCGAATCTTAGGCAACTCCACAATTTTTTCATCCAACTTCTCCTTAATGAAGAATCTGTCTATTTCGACATGCTTTGTACGATCATGTTAAACTGGATTATAAGCAATATCACATGCTGCTTTATTGTCACAATACAGTCTAATCGGTTGCCTAGGTAGATAACCCAAATCCCGCAAGAGAAGTCTTAACCACAAAGTTTCACAAAGTCCAAGCGCTATACCTCTGAATTCAGCTTCTGCACTCGAGCGAGCAACAACATTTTGTTTCTTGCTTCTCCATGTAACAAGACTACCTCCTACAAAAGTGAAGTAACCAGAAGTAGATCGCCTATCATCTATAACTCCAGCCTAGTCAGCATCAGTATATGCATCTATGTTTTAATAACCAGCATTTTTAGTGAACAAAATTCCTTTTCCAGGAGCAGATTTCAGATTCCTCAAAATGCGCATAACTGCATTCATATGTTGCTCTCTAGGATCATGCATAAACTAGCTAATAATGCTCAATGCATAAGCCAGATCCAGTCTTGTGTGTGCTAAATACATCAATCTCCCTACAAGTCTTTGGTATCTTCCTTTATTAGCAGGTACTTGGTTGGACTCAACACATAACTTCAGTCCTTCTTCCACTAGTGTCTCAGCTGGTTGACATGCTGTCATGCCAGTCTCTTGTAATAGATCTAAAGCATATTTTCTTTGAGATAGAAAGATTCCTTTATTAGATCGAGATACTTCAATCCCAAGAAAATATCTCAAAGGACCTAGATCTTTCATTTTGAATTCTCTAGCCAAATACTTCTTGAGAGCTTTCATTTCTTCAGGATCATCACCTATAACCACCATGTCATCTACATATACAATGAGTACAGTGATCTTACCCTGTCGTTTCTTCAGAAATAACGTGTGGTCTGAATTGCTCTGACGGTAGCCAAAGGCTGTCATAGACTTTGTGAATCTTCTAAACCATGCTCTTGGAGATTGTTTCAACCCATATAATGATTTCTTTAACCTGCAGACCTTCCGACTATACTTTTTGGGTATCATGCATCCTGGTGGGAGATCCATGTAGACTTCTTCGAATAATTCACCATGCAGAAAGGCATTCTTCACATCGAATTGTTGCAATGGCCAATCCAAGTTCGCAACTAAAGACAACAAGACACGAACTGTGTTTATTTTGGCTACAGGTGCGAACATCTCTGTGTAATCGATTCCATAGGTTTGGGTGTAACCTTTCACCACCAATCTTGCTTTAAAGCGTTCAACTGTGTCATCTGCTTTATACTTCACAATGTAAATCCATCGACATCCAACTGGTTTCTTTCTTGGTGGAGGATCAATGAGTTCCCAAGTTTTATTTTTCTGCAAGGATTTCATCTCCTCGTTCATAGCTGCTTTCCACCTAGGGTCAGCTAAAGCTTCCTGCACACTGTTAGGAATAGATACAGTAGATAATTGATTTACAAATGACAAATTTGATTCTGACAATCGATGGTTTGACACATAATTGCTCATGGGATACTTAACTTTACTAGAAAGTTCGGGTTCATATGTGGGTTTAAGAATACCTCTAGTGTGACGCGGTGGTAATTGTTTTCTGAGTGGCTCAGACACTAAATCAGGAACATCCTCAGCAGGCGATTGGTTTGATATATCAGTTACGAGGGACTCGAACTCGGACGACGATGAGGTTGGCGCCATACTTTCCATTTCTGGGCGTTCATCACCACTTTGATCCAAACTTATACCACGCAAATCCAATTCGCCTGATTCCTGATTGGTTGGTCCAACTTGTGAGTCATTAACATTAGAATCGCCGTCCTCAAAAATGTGATAATCATAATCTAAATTCTGAATTTCGTTCTGGTACTCCCCCTGAAGTTCAGACGTAGAGGAAAAATACATCGAGTCTTCATGAAAGACAACATCCATTGTGATAAACATTCGTCGAGTGGGAGGGTGATAACAGCGATACCCCTTTTGATGAATAGCATATCAGAGAAAAACACATCGCAATGCTCGAGGAATTAGCTTGTTGCATTGATGCTTATGGAGGTGTACAAAAGCTACCCAACCAAAGACATGAGGAGGTAGATTTGGGACGGTTGGGGCAACAACTACGTCAGTAAGAGCTTGCAATGGAGTCCGGAAGGCAATAGAGCTGGAAGGTACTTGGTTGATAAGATATGCTGTAGAGGCAAGTGCTTCTCCCCAGTACGATAATGGCATATGCGCTTCTATCAATGAAGTACGAACAACCTCCAACAAGTGTCGATTTTTTTGCTCTGCAACCCCGTTCTGCTGGGATGTATCGGAACAAGTGGTTTGATGAATAGTTCCACGTGCTTCCAAATCCTGCTGAAGGGCAAAACTCTGATATTCTCTACCATTGTCACTACGGAGAACCTGAACATGTGCATTGTATTGAGGTTTAACCATTTTATGAAACTTCTGAAATAATAAGTTCACTTCACCTTTGGACTTCATCAAGCACAACCAAGTCATCTTGGTGTAGTCATCAATAAAAGTAACAAACCAACGGGATCCACCTAAAGTAGTGATGACTTTGGACGGACCCCAAACATCAGAATGTATAAGCATAAAAAAGAAGTGGACTTTTATGCAAACACAATGGATACGAAACACGGTGTCTCTTTGCTAGTTCACAAACATCACAGCGGAAACTAGAAACATCAAGGTTTGCAAACAAACTCGGAAATAATTTTTTCAAATAACCAAATGAAGCATGTCCCAGACGTCGATGCCACAGCCAGATTTCAGATTTTTTTCTCTCCCCCTCAGAACCATCCACTATCAATGCTTGTCGTAGCTTGTCAGAACTTTTGGACATCAAGTCCAAGTAATACAGTTTCCCGCGCCTAATACCACAACCAATCGTCTGCTTTGTTTGGATGTCCTTAAACACACAAAAATCAGGCCAAAAAAATGACAACACAAGATAAAGCTGTGGTTATTTGGAAAACTGATAAAAGATTAGAATCTAAAGATGGAACAACTAAAATAGAATCTAAATGCAGATTATCAGTGAGTGTCAAAGATCCGTCCCCAATAACTGGGTTCGAAGTCCCATTGGCAGTAGAAACAAATTTGTGTGAGGATGAATTAAGAGGTGAGACTTGTCTAAAATCAAATGTCTGTGGCACCAGAATCAATTATCCATGCACTATTAGCAATATATGTAGAAATATTGAAATTCTTACCACCAGTATCTGTTGTCTTAACAACTGCTGTAGTGGAGGTCTTTGCTGAATTCTTCTTCCAACGCCGATGATCCCACTATGTCGGATATCCCACAAGTTTGAAACAGCGACTTTTGGTATGACCAGTCTGATTGCAATGAGTGCATTTGTAGGTAAATTTGTCTACTCCAGATGATTCAATATTTTTTCCATTCATTTTTTTTTTTTTTTTTTTTTTGTGAACTGATTTATCACAGAACCAGTTTTCAAATGAGGTTACAAAAAACTGGTTTAGTTTTAAACTAATCCAGAACTGGAATAGGATTACACATATGGCCAAACAGAGGGTTTTGATTTTTTTTTTTTTAATATATATATATATATATATATATATATATATATGAAGAATAATAAACAACCAAACAAAACGGAAAAAATCCGTGGTAGAGCTCGACGACTTTTGGTATGACCAGTCTGATTGCAATGAGTGCATTTGTAGGTAGATTTGTCTGCTCCAGATGATTCAATATTTTTTCCATTCACTTCTTTCTTTTTTTTTTTTTTTTTTTTTTTTTTTTTTTTTTTTGTGAACTGATTTATCACAGAACCAGTTTTCAACAAAAAACTGGTTTAGTTTTTTTTTAATACAATATAATATATATATATATGATATATATCTGAAGAACAAAAAACAACCAAACAAATCAGAAGGCTTTGGAAAACGGAAAAAACCGGTGGTAGAGCTCGGCTGTGAGGTCCGGTCGAGGAAGACGACCGGCGATGCAGCGGTGGTGGGTCATCAAGAGATCAGCGCTGCGAGACCAAATCCGGTTTAGATCGGCAACTTCAGAGAGCTCGGCGGTTGTGGAGTAGCGGCAGCGGCGAACTCGGGAAAGGAGAGCTCGCGGTGGAGGATGGCAGAGATGGCTAGCATGGACTTCCGGCGCGGGCTGTAGTTCCGGCGATGGCACGGGCTGTAGTTCCGGCGACTGATCCGGTGACGGCAACTGATCCGGCAACGGATTCGGCGCTGACTGATTCGGCGTGGACTGAAATAGCAGCGGGTATGGGTTTGTGTATGGGTATGGGTACATATGGATTTGTGTATGGGTCTATGAATTTCAAGGGTAAATTCAAAAGATTCAAAGGTAGG